GAAAGGGGGTCCAGCATTGTCAGTAATGTCTCCATGTGCCTGTCTCTTTATTAATCAGCAAGGCACTGCTTTGACCATGTATATCAAAAGGTTTTCTCCTCTAAGTGTGCAGTACATTTAAAAAAAACTGTGGGTGTTTTAATCTATATTCATTATTCTCACTTTTGGAAAAATTAAGCTGTCTCTAGACTGAAGCAGCCAAGGTTTATGGTTTTCTTAAATGATGACCTTAGTCTGTGGTTCTGAAATGGTCCTTTGCTGTTAGCAATCCCTACCTTCAATCCATTCTCTCCAACATCTAATATTAGGCTGTTCTGACCATCAGAATACTCTGCTTTTGAGAGCACAACTGACAAGTGATTTGTCTTGCATGATACATGGGGATATCCTCCCCTCATCTCAGATACGGATGGAGACTTAGTTTCATGTTTAGAGAAGTCTTGGTTGACGTCCATGTGTCCCTTAACTAAGAGAGGAGAGCTGTCTTAGTACATGAATACAAATTTGTGATCTACTGGATAACTTTGGCATGTTCAGATAACATAAACAAAAGGGAAAATAAGAGACAGTAAACTAACAGATAAAGGGTTAATGTCCTAAGTTCATAAAGAACTCGTGTAATTCTTTAGGAAAAGAATATTTCACTTATTTGAAATATGAAAAATTCTTATTCTGAACTAGGTATTTAATAAAGAGCATTGCCTTAAATGAATATAATTATTTTAAATTTTACTAGCCACCAAATAAATTAAAATTTAAGCAATTAAATTTAATTTCTGTCAACATTTTTTAAGAAAAACCATACCACACAGTGTTGGAACTTTCAAAAACGTTTTTGGGACTACATAGTGTAAAAGTTTTCTGGATTAAAGGTATTTAAACAACCAGAGAAATGAAAAATTGGGCTTTTTATGTGTACTATGAATTGAAATGCATTCTGCTATCATAGATAGCAAATTAGAATAAATAATTTTTAAAAAAAAAAGAAAGGAAGAAAAAAAAGAATCTTTAAAATTCCTTGTAATTTGTTTCTCAATAAAATTTTATTGTGAGGAAGTGAAGAGATGCAAAGATTTCATCTTAAACTTTTTATGAAAATAGAAAATAAAATATACAAAAGAAGAAGAATGGTAAATTGGGGTACATCTATATGATATAGTATTATAAAACTATTGTTTATGTTTTAGAAAATGATTTGAAAAGCATGAAAAATGTCCAGACACATTAAATGAACAAGTATTTAACACAGTTGAAGTCCAAGTGTGTATGTAAATATATACCCTGAATCACCACTTTATTAACCAGAGAGTAGAAATATATTCATTTATATTCAAGCTGGAATCCCATTTCTGATATGATATTTGTCAAATAACTACAGATAAGCCCAACAGCTGGTAACAATTATTAATTGGATAAACAGAAAACACCTGGGCATTCTGCAGAATTAAAAAGAGCAGCCAGACTGTGGAGAGGAATTGAGTTTTGGAGCAGTGACTGGCACACAGATGAGTTTTACAGTTTCCAGTGGGGTTCACCTGCATGCAGGTTGTAGCATGAAGAAGCACACTGTAGGTGAGGAACACTTTGCTAGAAATCCCACCGTCTTTCTAGCTGGAGGAACAAAGGAAAGGAGACTTGTCAACTGCAGATACTGGGAAGTGAGGGTAGGACTCTGGAAAAGGGAGAAGCCAAGGAAGCCCCATAATTCTCTGTATGAACAGTGCTGAAGTCCAGGCTGACTCCACGTGCAGGTGCAGGACAGTCTCAGAGCCCCAGTACGGCAAAGAATGAAAAGAACAGAATTAAGCTTTGAGCTACCACCAACAGAAGGAAAGACAGAGTCTAACTGGACTAAATGCTGCTAACACAACACCACCAGCATCTGATGAAGGTAACAGAACACAGAAGCCACACAACCTAACGTTTATGACATCCAAGATGTAATAAAAAATTATACAATGTAGAAGGAACACGGAAAATGTGATCGATTTTCTAGGGTAAAGATGACTTGTAACAACAACGTCAAATGCCTCTGAGGTCAAAGTGATTTGACAAGAATTTAATAACAGCCACTCAATGGGGTGAAAGAAAATACACAGAGAATGAATGAAAAGGCAGAAAATCTTGGTAGAGATACACTAATTTTAGAGAAACAGATTTTACAAATACATTTATTATTTTAAAAAATGATCAAATAAGGTGTACAACAGAATGGGTAGGTCAGAGGAAAGAACCAGTGAAATTGCAAAATGTATTAATAAAAATTATTTGATCTGAGGGCTGGGGATGTAGCTCCGTTGGTAGAGTGCTTGCCTCACAGGCACAAGGCCCAGCACCACCCCCCTAAAAAAAAATTATTTGACCTGAAAGAAAGTCGAAAAAATTGACAGAAACTTAGGGATATGTGGGACAATATAAAAAAGTATGACATATACATATTGGAATTGAAGCAGGAGGCAAGAGAGACATAAAATAGGGAAGGGGGATAGGAAAAGGAAAGACATTGGAATAAATGTAACATAATTTTCATATATATATATATATATATATATATATATATATATATATGAAAATATCACAGTGAATCTCACCATCATGTACATCCACAAGAATGGAGTCCTAACTAGAATAAGATCTATTTCATGCTTGTATAATTATATCAAAGTGGCTTCTGCTGTTATGTATAATTTTAAAAAAACCAATAAATTTAAAATATTACAATTGAACTATTCTCAAACTTTGTGGAAAACATCCATTTGCCAATTTGAAAAGGTTAATGAACTCCAAAGAAGATAAATTCAAACACCACCATGCCAAGAAAATAATAATCAGACTGCTGAAAGCTAAACACAAAATCTTAAAAGTAGATAAAAATTCTGTATTATTTTTAGAGCAATGATTTGAATAACACAAACTTCTCTTGGAAAACATTGGCACAATAAGATAGTGGAACAACATTTTAAAGCATTGAAAGAAAAAAATTTCAAACCAGTTTTCTATACACAGCAAAAATAACATCTTCAGCTCGGCTCAGTGGCTGAACACCTGTAATCTCAGCTGCCTTGGGGGCTGAGACTGGAGGATCGCAAGTTCAAAGCCAGCCTCAGCAATTTAGTGAGGTCCTAAACCACTCAGGGAGACCCTGTCTCTACATAAAATACAATAGAGAGCTGAGAATGTGACTCAGTGGTTAAACACCCCGAACTTAATCCCCAGTACCAAAAGAAAAAAAAATAATAGTAGCAACAAAATCTTCAAACATAGAATAGTATCATCTAGCCTGGTGTGCTGTTGCAGCCTGTAATCCCAGTAGTTCGGGAGGCTGAGGCAGGAGGATTGCAAGTTCAGAGTCAGCCTCCGCCTAAGCAAATCAGTGAGACCCTGTCTCTAAATAAAATACAAAAACAGGGCTGGGGATGTGCCTCAGTGGTCGAGTGCCCTTGAGTTCAATCCTTAGTACCCCAAAACAAAACACCAAATACAAATGCAGAAAACTGAAAACAAAACAAAACCCTTAGAGACTCATTGCTAAAAAAAACTATAAGAAATTATAAATGGAGTCTTTCTGCATGAAATATTCCATTGAGTAAATGTTTCACAATGTAGGCTTAGTTTTTATGAATTTTTTAAATTTCTGCTTATCATGGAATGTTTTATTTCATTCTAAATTCTGAAGGATAATTTTGCTGGACACAGTAATACTGGTTGGCACCCATTTGATATTGGTTGGCATGGCACATATTATTCTAAGCCCTCCTGGCTTTTAGGCTCTGGGTTAAGAAATCAGTTGAAATCTGAATTGATTTGGCTCTAAACGTGACCTGCCATTTTTCTCTTGCCGCTGTTAAAATTTTATTCTTATTCTGTATGTTAGGCATTTTCTTTATAATGTGTCTTGGAGAGGATTTCTTTTGAATTTGCCTATTTGGAGTTCTATATGCTTTTATATTTGAATTTTCATCTCATTCCTAAAACTTGGAAAATTTTTCTGATATTATATCATTGAAAAGATTGTGCATTCCTTTAGTTTGTATTTCAAAGCTTTGTTCTGACCCATTTAATGGTGCTTAAATTTGGTCTCTGAATATTATCTTAGATATCTTGAACATTCTGGTCATGGTCTCTTAACATCTTTTCTTTATTGTTGACTTCATTTTCAACATTATATATATATATATATATATATATATATATATATATATATATATATATATATATATTGTCTTCTAGGCCTGGGAATCTATCTTCAAGGTAGTCTAATCTATTGATGATGCTTTCCATTAAATTTTGTATTTGATTTATTGGCTCTTTCATTCCCAGAATTTCTACTTGATTCCTTTTCACAATCTCTTTCTCTTAATTGAAATGATCTTTCACTCCGAATTTCCTAAGTTCATTCCTTACACCCTCTTTTAACTTGTTAAACATTTTAACTATAAACTTTCTAAATTCTTCCTCTGACATTTCCTCCCCTCTGGTGTTCCTGGGTTCAGTTGTTGAAGTGTTGTGTGCAATATTTTTGGTGTGCTTTCTTTGTGACTATTACTTGTTGCATGAGGTCAAGATATGAAATTTTCCACTTGTTGGAGCTCAAAAAGTTTTAGATTTGGGGGGCATTTCAGATTTCAGATTAGGGATGCTCCACTTGTAGTACTATATCTATTAAGAGCTTGCATTCATTATCAAAAATTTTTTTATTAGTTGCTCAAGACAATACAATGATCTTGACATATACATTTGATTCAAATGAGGTGTGCATTCTTATTTTTCCACGTGTACAGATTGCAGGATCACATTGGTTATACAGCCATGTTTATACATACAGCAATCCTAGTGTCTGTTGTATTCTGCTGCCCTTCCTATCCCCCCTCCCCTCCCCTCCCCTCCCCTCCCATCACCTCTCTCTACCCAATCTACTGTGACACATTTCTCTGTCTTTTTTTTTCTCTTCCCCCTCACACCATCATATCAAAGAAAAAAATTAAGTCCAAACAGCTTCATTGGTTTATTTTATCAAATATTTATTTTAGCAAATATTCAAGAAAGATATCAATCCTATGCAAATTCTTTCAAAAAATTGAGAGAAGTTATCAAATTACACTAACAGTAAGCAATTAAAAATGAACTAAAATCTCCACTTATAATACCAAACAACATAAAATCATTAGGAATAAATTTAATGAAAGATATGTGAAAGAGAATTAAATAAGACCTAATGAAATGGAAAGGTCATGTGAAATTCATGGATTGAAAGCTTCAGTCTTGTTAATATGGAAATTCCAAATTGATGTAGAAATTCAGTGTAATGCTAATCAAATTTTTTTTTAAATAAATTGAGGAGTCAATGTAAAAATGTATATGGAAAAGCAAAAAACCCAGAATACCCAAAATCGTTTTGAGAAAAACAAAAGAACAAAGTTGGAGGTTTATACCAAGTGATTTCAAGCTTCACGTGTAGCAACTGTAATCAAGAAAGTGTCTATTTTGGCATAAGGAGAGAGCCTTATGATCTACTCTAAGATAAAATAAATAAAGCAAAATAGTCTAGAAGTAGGCTCATACCTATATTGTCAATAGGTTTTTGCCAAAGATGGCAAGATAATTCAAAGGGAAAAAGTATGCTCTTCAAGTAGACTCCTGTAACAATGGATATCTGTATAGGAAAAAAATTAATATCAACCTTGATCTCAAACTGCATACAAAAAATATCTTGAAATGTGTCACACATAAACACAAGAGATAAAAATAGTAAATTTCTAGAAGAAAATCTTTTTAATATTTATTTTTTAGGTGTAGATGGACACAACACAATGCCTTTATTTTTATGTGGTGCTGAGGATTGAACCCCGGTCCCACCTGTGCTAGGCGAGTGCTCTACCGCTTAGCCACCATCCCAGCCCTGAAGAAAATATTTATGGCATTTGGGCAGATAAGTATTTCTTAAACAGGCTATACAAAATATGAACTATAAGTGAAAAAATGGTAAATTTAATCAAATTCAGAACTTTGAAAGTTACAAACTGAGAGAAAATATTTGATAAGCATGGATCTGATAAAATTATAATGCATTATAGATTTTAAAAATGTGCATTTGCTATTCCCTCAAACCTCACACATACACACAAAAAGCTATGAGCACCTACCAAGGCAAGTGGTGGAAACTTCTAAGAAAAAAATGAATAATTTTCCTTGCATTGCACACAACACATACACACAAAAATAATCACTGTATAGAGATCTTAGACCCAAATGTAAAAGTGAAAATGAAAAATTTCTAGAAAGAGTCTTTTGATTTGGAGCTTAACAAATTTTCTCACATTGGAGACACAAAGCATAACTCATAAAAGACAAGATTCATAAATTTTATGACATCAAAACTAAACACATCTGCTCATCAAAAGACACCATTAGGAAAATAAAGATCAAGCTATAGATAAACATGTAAATCAGACCAGAATATATAAAGAATCAGCCAACTCAAATAATAAAAAAGACTACCAAAAAACAAGTGATGAAAGGTTTTAACAGAAAAATCACAAAAGATCTACAGAAAGTCAATAAGGACTTGAGGAGATGCTCAACATCTGGTAAAAGAGAAGTTAAATCATAACGCCACCTTATACTGAATTCTATACTCCTTAGAATAACTGAATTTAAAGACTGAAAATTTCAAGTATTGACAGAGATATGGAATAACTGAGCCTATGCACCATTCATGGGAATGTATAATTGTGTAGCTATTTAGGAAAACAACATTCAGCCTTGAAAATTAAATATGAATCTACTATGTGACCCAGCAGTTACACTCCACAGGATCTGCCAAAGGGCAACGGAAACATGTTCACAAAACGATTTATATATATCAAGCTTTATTTTTAACAATGACAACTGAAATCACCCAAACGTCCATCAACAGATAAACACCTCGTCAAATATGTCTATGCAATGGAATATTACTCAGCAATAAAAATAAATAATGAAACAACATGAATGAACCTCACAATCTTTTTGCTTTGTGAGAGAAGCCAGGCACAAAAGAGTCTATCCCATATGATTCCATTTATATATATATATTTTAGAAAATATAATCTATAATGACAGAAGAAAGCATGGCAGTAATTGAATGGGATGGAGGTGAAAGTGAACAATCTTTGCTCAAGGGTGAGGGGCTGTGAAGGTGATAAAAGTATGTGGGATCTTGATTACGTTCGTATGATTTCATCTGTCAAAACTCATTCAAGTGTACACTTTAAATACGTGTAATTTATTTTGCATAAATTGTTATTCGATAAACTTATAAACAAAATAAATAGAATGCAAAGAAAGAAATTAATAATGCCCCTGATACCAAAATCTCCAATGTCACCTTCTTGACTAGTTGGAAACAATTTCCTCTTAGATCCTCCACTAATACTCCTTAGACTCTCCCTGACTACGTACAGGTACCACTATTTGCCTTGGTTTTGAGGATCTGAATAAGGTCTTCTGGTAGGGAGGTTCCCCATTATGCTCAGAACTATTCTGTGCACAGTAGCTGCCCCCCACCACTTGTCCCCAACTCTCTCCTTTCCAAAGGCTGCTGTCCTTGGTGCTTCCTGCACCACCAACCCATTCCCCTGGAGAATGTCCGTAGCACACTGCCTCTCTCCTAACTTTCTCCCCTAGACCTTTTATCTCTCAAAAGTCAATGGGAGAATTTTTCTCCTTTTATCATAGGTTTCCTACAACAAGCGCCTAGTGACATGTCTTTTCCCCCTCAAACAGAACAATTTGTCCTTCCTGGAGCCCCCAGTAGAAAGGCATTAGGAGAAAACTCAAGCACACAAAGATTCCAACTGGATTATTTGATCCCCCCTACAGGCCAGGCCCCTGTCCTGGATTGTGTTTTACCCCCTAATAATATGAAAACAAAACATATAAGCCCTTCTCTCATAATAAAAAATACACATTTCTTCAACAAGAAAAAAATAGATTTTTTTCTTCAGTTGCTGATTGAATTCATTAGGCTAAGATTAAAAACTTCAAATTAGATTGCATGTTATTCTTTCTATTGTCTACGTTATTGACACCCCAGGCATAAATTTGAAATACACTGTGGACTTTTATGCTTGAACTATTTCAAGGTTTTCCAAGTGCTCTTGTGTTATTTACATAAAGTGATGAACAATGGGTGGTGCAGAATCCATGATGTTGTTAAATTGATCCATTCACATGCATCAGGGAATTCACTAGGTTCTTTTTCTTAAGGCCTATTGTTTTGAAAGCTATAAGAAGTGTAATGCCAGGTGATCAAGGCTAACCATTTCAGTTACTCCTTTTCTGCCTCTGAAGAAATTTTAAGTGATTTTGTCCATTCTCCTGAAACTTAAGCACAATAGCATGTTGTTGTTTTGAGTCCATGATAAACAATGTTTCTCAGCCAACTGGGGGACAGATGAGAAGTTCTGCTCTGAGCTTACAAGTTAATGTTTTGCAACTTCTCCTCCACTGTCAGCTCAGGTAACCAGGATTCCTGAGTGAATGGAAAGCAGTAATGGAGACTCCTCAGAAAACTTGGAATGGAACCACCATTTGACCCGTTATTTCACATCTTGGTTTATACCCAAAGTACTTAAAGTCAGCATACTGCACTGAAGGGGCCACATCAATGGTTTAAAGCAGCTCAATTCACAATAGCAAAGCAATGGATCCAACCAAGGTGCCCTTCAACAAATGAATGGATAAAGAAGATGTGGTATATATAAACAATGGAATATGTCAAGATACACCCTACTGTCCTGTATATCTAAAAAGAACAAATTAAAAAAAAAATTCCTGAGGAACATGACAGTCGCCCTCTAGTTCTGTGAATCATTGGATTTCCTGAGATTCTGGGGTTAGCACTGATGCTTCAGTAGCTTCAAACTGTAAGCGCTGCAGTTAAGTGGCACAACGGAGCTGCTACAGGCAGGCCGCATGATTGATCCTGTGACAGGAGATCAACGAATTCAGTACATTAAACACTGTCAACCAGGGTGACTGAAAATTTTGCCAATAACATTCAGATTCTGACAGAAGGAAAAAAAAAACATTTTGATGCAAAATGCACACAGAGTGATCACTGAGGGAAGAGAAAAAAGACCCATGAACAATGCAAAACCAAGACAATGAGAGAACAGAAGCCGAATACTCCGTGGTGGGATGGATTACAGGCTTACGGTCCATTCTGAATATCACTTATACATGCTTAAGCCACCTGTTTGGTGAATAGCATGTAATTCACCTTCCGTATCACGTAAGATCCTTCTGAATTCTATTGTCATCCTCGTCACGAGAAAACAAGGTAGGGCAGTAGTTAAGAGCACAGATTTCAGAGCCGATCACACCTGCATTTGGATCCGGCTTTTGTTTGCATATGACCTGGGATAGCCTCTCTGGGCCTATTTAACCTTTATGGACCTCTGTCTCATCTGCAAAACAGAAGTTATAATGCTTAAGCCTTAGAATTATTTCTGTGTATTTACTGCAATTCTATAGGTAAAGCCTTTGTAACCCTGGCTAGACGGTCCTCCTCCTCTAGTCCACGGCACACGGCTGTTCCCTGGGCTCTCTGTGGGCCACTCTGGGTGAGGAGCTAGTGCTCCGAGGCTGCTGGAGCCCATGAGACATTCTCATAGTTTTCTGTAATGTCCTCATGGTCACTGCCTCTTCGGCTGGCCGGTCCTGCAGAGTCCTCCGGATGTGCCTTCTTCAATTCTGAATAAATGACCACAGGTTCCTGGTGGAAAACCCACAAATTTTAAGTACCTAAATACAGATGAGGAAGAGCAGAGAAGAGAGAAGGCCAGGAAATGTATCTCACCTTACGGTTCCTAGGCGTCCGCTGTGAATTTGCTGTTGGATGGGAATAGCAAAGAAAAGTTTAAAGTTCTACATTGCAAATTTACAGCCTATTCACAGTGCATTCCGAGTCAGCTCCACCTCTCCTGCTCATCTCTTGACTGTTTTCTCTGCTGACTTTTTCTAAGTCCTCACAGAAAAAAAGCATTCTTTCCCCTCCACACACAAGATATACGCACAGTAAAAAAAAAAAAAAAAAAAGGCACCTTTGTAGCCGTATTGACCATCTGGGAGGAAGCGGCCCACAGCACTCACTTCTCTTTGCACAGGGAATTTGGAGAAGGCTCGAGGAGAGACCGGCCGTCTAAACCACACAGCAGTTCCCCAGGAAGCCAAAGATTTGCAGTGGAGCATTAAGAAAATTCACTGTGTGTTCCTCTGTCCTTCCAAAGAGTTGTTTGTGTCTCTCTTGTTTATTTATTCAGCCAACAAGCATTCATTGAAAAGTGGCTTCTTATTAAACATTAGGTACATTACAAGGAGGCAGAGATGACAGAAGCTCAGTCCATCTGACCAAGGAGCCCATGAGTTTGAAAAGGAGAAACGGACATCGAAACCAACGCAACGGGTTTCCAGAAATGCGTATTGAACTCTGCTGTTGCCACAAAGAGTGATCATGGGAAGGGATGATGAGTCACTGCAAGCTATGTCCTGAAACGTGGGCAAGGACAGAGAAGAGGCACTGGGCCCAGGAGAAGCAGGCCATGTCTCCCATGTTAAGCTCACATTTGAGACGACTCTTTGATCAAAGACCCTTGGCTGGACCACCTACCACCTCGCCTCTACTTGTCTGAAAGGTATCTCACCTGAAATGCCGTTTGTATTCGGGATGCTCCTGATCTGAGAATAAATCAGGTTTCTTTCTTCAGGATTCACTGTGAGAAAACAGAAGATGTTACATGGGCTTCCCATCTGAGAGTCTCCTGCTATGGTTTAGTTTGGGATTTGGTTTGTTCTCCAGAGGTTCATCTATCAGAAGAGTGGTCCCCTGTGTTGTGACGTTAAGAGGTAGTGGAACCTCTAAGAGGTGGGGTCTAGTGAAAGGTCTTTATTGGCACCTCCCATCACTCTGGATTCCTATTTGCCACACGATCTCCCTGCTTATGTGCACTCCTGAAATTGTGATGCCATCTGCCCTGACATCCTCGCCAGAGCCAATGCCAGTGCCATGCTCTTGAACCTCCAGAAATATGAGCTAGATAAAACTTTTTTTCTTATCAAGTACCCAGTCTCGGGTGTTTCATCATAGTAAGGAAAATCAGACCGATACTCCTTTACAGCCACCAAATTTCTAGCTGCCTTTGAATCCCTATAATGTTAGGTATGTCATATTTAAATTGGATATGAAAGGGCTCTGAGTTGTTGCTCAGTCCTTCCTCTGTACTGGTACTTCCCTAGAACCCTCGGTCCCTTAAGAAGTCCTTACCATTGCTATACACTGGCTGCAGCTCCAGATGGACTAATTGCTCAGAGTAGGGGGGCTCCTGGGCATCTATGCTGGAGGGCCCAAACTCGGAAGTCTCCTGATATTCACTGGGACTGTAACTGTGACAAGAAGAGACAATGGATGAAGAATGGTTGTGAGTTACACAGAGTCTCAGAGAAATTGGTATCCAGGAAGGCCTAGAGCCTGGCAGGATTTATGTAAAAAAAAAAAATATTGTGGACACTTTTTCATGACTCTTTCAAGAAAATATTGGAAAAAGTGTGGTGCAAGATGGACCCCAGGGGAAGCTAGCTGAGGCCAAGTCCAAGGGCAGAAGCCACACAGTCTTCAGGTCCCTTTGAGAGGATGAAACTTATATTTGTCTAATTGTTAAGATTATTTTTAAAGATATTAATGTTTAAATGCTGATACGCAAGGTCTTCTGCATTCCCATGTAACTTGACCTTTGTCTTTTTTTAAAATTTTCTACCTCGTGTGGTAAGACTCCACTCTACCTGTAAGATATTATGAAGTTTCCTCAAAAAAGTGGGTTCTTTTCTTAATATCACCTCCTTGTGCACTGTTAATTTAACGCTGGCATTTAGTATCACTTCCTAAATGAGTGAAGGAATGAGAGAAACAGGGAGTGAATGAACGGTGGCCCTATGCAGGATGACGTCATTAAGACATCAGTGGTCAGTTCTGTACTGGAGCTCAGAGGTAGATAAATAAACCCAGACAACAGCAGGCATTCGGCATGTCAGTTGACTCAGTATTGTCCCCAAAGAGGAGAGGGACTGGTTTTCTGATCACATTTATTTTTTTGATTTTGTAAGAATGTTACAAGGTTGGTAGGAAGTCCATTCAAAACTTTAAAAATGTACATCATCGTAGTTATAAACAAATTATGCAAATGAATCCAAGCAGCACAAGAATTCGAGACCTTACCTAGGTGTCCCCGTGGCAGGAAGTCTTCCTACAAAAGGAACAAAGGAACACTGTGGGTAAGAGATAGCGTGGACAGTGGGCTCTGCGTCAGAACACTCCTTCCTCGAAGTCAGATTCACTGTAAGATCTCAGACATGGCAAAGCTTGGGGAATAACCTTCTATGTCCCCATGTCATGTTACACATAGGGAAGGCGGGGTCTTGGAGGACATCTGCCCAGAATCACACTCGTTATGAATCATTGTTCAATCCGTAACAGCCATGCGAAAAGAAATTCTAAATAGCTGTGGCCAGGAAGCAGAAGTGAGACAAGAAGATATTTAACTCGGGGCCTAGGTCTTCCTCCACACTGACTTCTTCACTGTGTCTGCAGCTTAACACTGACACCAAACTGCGACTCTCACGGGTACGCTCTACCCTGCTTTTCTCTAACTGTGACCCCTGCAGATCCTCTGCAGAAATGCTGAACCCGCATGTCACTTGGGCACTCAGCAGTTTCTCCATCCCTTTTCTTTCCATCTCTTTCACCTGGCCAATTTCAACTTATCTTTCCTCCTTTGCATCAGAGCTTTGCATCAACTCCACCTAGATCCAGGCACATAGAACTGGGTAATATTGTAAGAACTAATTATTACGTGTACCATCATGATCTGTGTCTTTGTTTTCCCTTAATCCTTCCTGTACTCTGCTTTTTAAACATTATCCACTTGAATCATTTTTTTTTTTTTTTGCATTCACAGAGCCATGCCTAACAATAAAGATTGGTTAAAGTATGGAACAAATTAAAGTGTATACTTCAAGGACTGAAAAAAATGACAAATTGACAATTTTCTAATAGGTGATTGCATGTGAGTTTAACGTTGAAGCCTACTTTATCAGCCTTAAAAGTAAAGCAGTTTAAAAAAAATATTTTTCTTTTTAGTTATAATAAGGCAGTTTTTCATCACTGAAATTCTGAAAAATTTCTGGCGTGCCCCAGTGTGGACTTGTTCCCAGTTTCACATCCCTGTCATTTGCCTTTTTAAAAATCTGTGTCTATCTGTCTCACTGGTTTTAGAGAACACCAGTCACTACCCAGAGTAAGCACACCAGTCTTGATTCCTTTTTTTTTTTTTTTTTTTTTTTTGGTGGTGCTAGAAATTGAACCCAGGGCCTTGTGCATGTGAGGCAAACACCCTACCAACTAAGCTATACCCCGAGCCCTGATTCCTTTGATAAATAACTGAATGATGCCTACAAGCCCAGTTCCTGGGTGCCAGGCCTCCTGAGTTAGGCTGGAAGTGTGTGATCATGACCTAGGCCTGTGTCTCTGTCCTCAGAACAATGAGAACCCACGTCCACCCACAGCCAGTGTCTTCCCTGGGCAGTTTGTCTGTAAGGATGGATCTAGAAGTTAGTCTATCTCCTCATTGTAAAAAGAAAACTGAGATGTAAAGAGGTGGCTATTTACCATGTCTTCCCTGAGGACATATGAGCAGGAACTATACTAAGCAGTTTGCCTACATTGTCAAAGGTAGCTACTGTTATTATGACCACTACATAGATGAAAAAAACTGGGGTTTGGAGAGTTTAAGTGACCTTCCTAACATCAAGAAGCTAGCAAATTATGGGCTGGGGTTGTGGCTAAGTGCCAGAGTGCTTGCCTAGCACGTATTAGGCACTGGGTTCAATCCTCAGCACCACATAAAGATAAAATAAAGGCCTGCTGTCCATCTATAACTACCAAAAAAAAAAGTTAGCAATCTACATTACTAAAATTTTAACCCAAGTAGTTTGAATACAGAATTGACACATTTTTACCTCTTTTGATAATTTGTAGGAATTATTCAGGCAAGAAATAGAATTCTTCACTTTTAGAAATACGTGAAAAGTTTGAGCTCCTTCCTGAGATAAATGGTCAATAACGGGACAGGGAATTTTGCTATGGGGTGGAGGATTCAGGAGTCAAGATTTTTGAGAAGAGAAAGACAGAGACCCTCTTCCTGGTGAACTATCACAACTTCTCGGTGAATCTGCTATTTAATACACTTCTTCAGGAAGGGAATGAATGGCTGAGCACTTGCTTGGCATGCATGAAGTCCTGGGTTCGATTCTCAGCACCACAAGCAAATCAAAACAACAGCACTTCTTCTAGACCTGGTGGACAGAACACCCCCTGGCCTTCTGTTCACATGGATCACATAAAATAGTCAGTATTCTCCTCCTTCCCGGTGTCGTGGTGACCGAGTAGTCTGCTTTTTGAACATTATCCACTTCAACAGTGAGATTCTAATGCCCTCTTCTAGGTAGTGGGGAGGGAGGTTAGACAGAGATTAGATGGGGGATTCATTAGAATATTGTGTAGCACTGTGGGGTAACTATGGCCTACAACAATTTATTATGCTTTTAGAAATAACTACAGAAGTACTTGAAAATTCCCAAGACATATAAATTGTAATATTTGAGGAGATGAAAATGTTAGTTATCCTAATTTGATCAATACATATCATGTACATGTATTGACTTATAATATTGTATCCATAAATAAGTATAAGTATTATATGCCAATTAAAATAAAATAAAATTGAACTTACAGATGGTCTAAACACCTTTCATAAAAGGTGGAGACTCTCATATTGGATGAAAGGGAAAAAGAAGGAATTAATCACATTTTAATTATTAAAAAAAAAAAAGATACACTAAAGCATAGGACACAGATAAATCAAAAGTAAAAGGACAGGGAAAGAAATACCATGTTAGCAGTGATGATATTTGTTAACATGCTAATATTTATAATTTTATTGATCATAGTTCATTAGTACATTAATATCAAACAAGAACTATTTCAAAGTAAGTGATACTATCAGGGGGGTTTGGTAAAGAGGGTCATTTTGTAAGGATAAATTTTTTCAATTCATCAAAAACACATAACAATTCTAAATATTCACACAGCTCATAAAGAGCATCAAATCCTCAAAGCAGAACTAGATACAACTGCAGGAAGAAATGAATAAATTCACACATGCAGTTGAACATTTCAATTCCCTATCTCAGTTATTGATAGTATACAGAAAATCAGTAAGAACATAAATGAATTTAGTAATGACAGCACACTTACTGTAAGAAATGTTAGAAGAATCCCTTTTGGCAGATCAAAAATGATACGAGATAGAAATGTGAACACACAAAGAAGAATGGAGGATATTGAAAGGGTTAGCTAGTGGCTACAACTTTGACAGCAAATCCTATAAAGGCAAGAGAAGAGAAAGATATCAACCAACTCCCTCTTACACACAGATACAAGCCTTCTTAATAAAATTTTAGCAAATCAAATCCAACCATCATGATAAAGACCCAAGAAATATAATATGGCTTGAACACTCAAAGTTAACCTTATTAATAGACTGAAAACAGAAAATCACATGATTATTTTAATCAATGCAGAAAAAGCACTTGACAAATATCTATACCTGTAAACATTATAAACAGATTAGGAATTAGTAGGGACTTGCTTAGCCAGGTAAAGTGAGTCTATGAAAATCCGACAGTTGGCAAAATACTTAATTGTGAGAAACTGAATACTTTTTTCCTAAGGTCAGGAACAAGACAGAGATGTCTGCTCTGACCAGTTCCATTCAACATTACATAAAAGGTTCTAGACAGTGCAATCAAGAAAGAAAAAGAAAAGGTTAAGACTGGAAAAAAGTGATACTGTCTTTATTAGTAGACAGCATGCCATCTAGATAGACAATTTTATGAAACCTACAAAACAGATATTAGAACTAAGTAAGGAGTTTAGTGAGGTTGCAGAGTATATGATTAACATGCAAAAGGCAATTGTATATCTATGTACAACCAACAATCAGCAATTGAATTTTTAATCTCCTCTCGGTTGTTCTCTATTAGTTTTATCCAAATTTCATTATAGTTGACTGCTATTCAAATATATCTTGGCTTATGATTTGCACTTTTGACGATTACCTGCTTTTTGATACAAATGGTGGAGGGGTTTGGGGGCCCTTTTGTTTTCAGTAGGCTTTGGAATGCAGGTAGAACAGTAAAGCGCTTAATTTTCCAATTTTTAATTGAAAGCAAAGCTCTGATACATAAGTCATCTCAAATTAAACACAAGAGGTAAAAATCCCATTGAAAACTTTATGCTACCTTTTTTGTTACTATTGCCTGTAAAACTGAGGGACTAGTACTTAGAAGGAATAATTGGCTTTTGTAGGATGCACTACCCAACTCCAAATCATTATATCAATGGCCAAATTCACAGCCTTAAGGGCTAAGACAGAGACACCTACCTGGTTTCTTTTGGCTCTTGATGCGATACAGCCAAGTAGCAGCAAAGACAAGGATGAGGAGCAATCCCCCAGTGACTCCTGTGGTCATAAGAACAATTCTTCTCCTGGAATTCCCTGAGGGCCAAGATATATATATTCCCTGAGGGCCCTTGAGTTTCAAGGGCAAAATTTTGGATCTAGTCAAAAAAACATGCAAGTGGAGCTAAGATCTATCAGGGCAGGTAATTTTCCAGTTTCTGATTTCTCCTTTCAAATTATCTTTAGTATAATTTGTGATTTTCAAAACAATGACATGTTAAAGGTGGTCACCAGCATCTAAGATTAAAATTTATTTCCTTTCCCCTTTCCACATGAAATCAGCATCAATCTCAAGATGCTCCACACCTTGGTGGGCATGTTCAGAAACTTGGCCATTGATAGAATTTGTACTGTCCACTGGAGGAATATTTTACTGCCTACTACTATGGCCTCTAGTTCAGGTACCACTAACTCACCTGTGATGCTGAGTGCCACCACCTCACTGCGCTGAGCCCCCAGGCCATTGTTAGCGTCACAGGAGTAGTTTCCAGAATGTTCTGCAGTTAGGGAGAGGTTGAAAGATGCTCCTCCTCCAGAGGGAGCCAAGATGTTCCCCAGGATGACGTCCTCATGATAAAACTGGTACAGGATCGGGGGAGAGCCCCTCAGGGCCTCGCAGTGAAGCTCCACCACGTCCCCCACCACAGCCTGGACCCTGGGAATCCTGAATGTGAGGACAGGGTGGGACACTGGAACTGAGAGAGGAAAATAGTGCATTGGCAGTTTTGTATAGGCATGTATACAAGAAACTGTAATAAAAGAGTATTCTGCATAGTTCAGAGTAGGAACACAAACCTGGATTCAGAAAAACATAGGTTTGAATCCTGTCTCTGCCCTTTGTTAACTCTTTAGTCTTGATTTTTACTTTACTTATTTATTTATTTAGGTACTGGGGATTTAGTCCAGGGGTATTTTACCACTGAGCTACATTCCCAGCCCTTTTTATTTATTTTTTTTATTTTGAGACAGGGTCTTGAGAAGTTCCTTAGGGCCTTGCTAAGTTGGGAAGGCTGGCTTCCAACTTGCAATCCTCCTGCCTTAGCCTCTGGAGTGTCAGGTATTATTAAAGGCATGCCTGGCTATAATCTTGATTTTTAAAAACTTTAACTTCTCTGTTTATTCATTTCTAAAAAAGAACTAATAATAAATTATATCTCAAACTATTATAGTAAGAATCATGTATGTAAAGTGATCAATGAATGCCAAGCTATCATTATTAACAGATATAACTAAAATCAAGGGTCATTTCTAGGATATTCCTATTGCTGAATCTTAGCTCTAAGATCAAGACATGGTTCCATATCTATCTAATTTAGGACCTCATTATTCTCCACCCAATTACCTGACTTCATTTTCCAAGTTACTATTCAGCACTGTCTAACATCCATCCCTCTATCATCCATCCGTCTATCCATCCATCCATCCATCCATCCATCCCTCTATCCCTTCATCCATTCATCTATCATTGTCATATATCAGATGACCCCAATAGAATTTAAGTTCCCATAAAAACAGGGATTTATCTTTCCTGTGTTGTATTTCCAGTTGCTGGAACTCTGCATGACATTCAATAGTTGCCCAATAATTGGCCACAGAACTAATTGATCTAGACTGGCCCAAAAACATCCAGATGCAGCACTAGCAACAATAATTCCACGTTCATTGATGACTCTAGAGATAGGACAGCAAATGAGAATAGAAAAACCATTCAAGTGGAATAGGAACGAGAAGATTGCTGGTTCTGCTAAGTGGTGAAGAAACTTAAATGAGATAGTTCTCTTTGTGTGCAGTGCTTTAGATTGAAGTTGTGTGCTTCACTGGCAAGAGACGCTTGGGAAGGATCTTAAGCTCTGCTTTGTGTTACAGACTGACTCAAGGGGAGGGAGTATGGATGTGGGACCATTCATTGAACAGCAATGATTAGACCTGAAATACGAGCCAACACTGGCTGCAAGAAAGATGGCTTCTGCTGGTAGAGTGCTAGCCTCATGTGCACAAGGCCCTGGGTTCAAATCCTAGCACCACCACCTTTAAAAAAAATAAAATAAAATAAAAGGTGCATGCAGGCAGGAAGAAAATCATGATCAGGGCAGGGAATGATGTTTCCTTGCCAGTAATTGCTGCAGCTCGCGTATCTGGTATTTTGGAGTCTTTGAACTTCCTCTGGAGTGGGGAATATGGGAACTGTAGCCTCTTACTGAGGAAAATAAAGGAATGTGTAATCACAAGAAAGAATCCATGCCTGCAAGAAGTCCAGCAGAGTTCTGTTTGTGTCTGGACTACTGTGTGTACAACCTGCTTACCTAGGACGTGGAGACTCACTCCGTGACTGCGCTGGGCCCCCAGGCCATTGTCGGCCTCGCAGGAGTAGTTTCCAGAATGTTCTGCAGTCAGAGAGAGGTTGAAGGATGCTCCTCCCCCAGAAGGTGCGGAGCTGTTCCCCAGGGTGACGTCTTCATGATAAAACTGGTACAGGATCGGGGGAGAGCCCCTCAGGGCCTCGCAGTGAAGCTCCACCACGTCCCCCACCACAGCCTGGGCCCTGGGAGCCCTGAGGGTGAGGACAGGTTGGGACACAAGACCTGAGGGAGACAGAAGGGCTGTCAGATGAGCTTAGAAATAGATATATCCCTTGAATCATTTCTGTTCCCCACTGCCTGCACTTTCCTAATCTAATGATCAGAAGCATTGTCCTAAAACCCAGAAAAGTAGCCCTGGAGAATTTTGTCCTCATCATCCCAAAGTCCTCTCCCCACGGAGCAAAGCATCTTCGCTCATTTTGCCTTGTTTGTAGCGGCAGGGGTCATTTTTTTGGATCTTTGCCTCTGTTCATTTGCCTGCTTCCAAAACTTCAGGGCTGATGGAGAACTTCAATTCTGGCTTGCAAAACAAGGGTGACAGGGAGGAATCAGAAACTCACTTCTCACGGTGACGGTAATCCGTTTGCTGAGGATGGGGACATGGTTGTTGTCAGCGGCACAGTAGTACCTCCCAGTATCACGCTTCTGCACGGCGGGCACTCGCAGCTCTGCCAACAGGGAATGCTGGGTTTTTCTGCCCAGACTTATTCCCTCTTTGTGCCAGGAGAATGTGATATTCCCTGTGCCCGCGGCTACTGAACAGATAAGGACCAGATTTTCTCCTTCAATCAGCTGCCCCCCTGGGGGCTGGATCTCTAGATTCACATCAGATACAGGGATTCCTGGGGAGACACAAGGTAACACGGGAGGGTTTTGATGGCAAGCACTTCAGAGTCAAGGAAAAGTCTGGAGCCGCCAGGAATAGGCCAGTAGTCATAGATGCAATAGGCCAGGGTCCAAAGTCGGAAAGAAGAAATTAATTTTATAAAGAGATCAGTACCCCTTCCCACTCCCACAACAGCTCCTGTCCTTGGGAAATGCAGGCACCAGGCCCATGATCTTAAACCCGGTGTTGTTTGCAATCACATTTTATGAACAGGTATCTGGAAGGAATCTCTGATATGCCACAGAATAAGAGTACTGGGATGTTGCCTCTATCCTGAAGTGACTTTTCTCAGAATCCAAACTCTTTCCCCATCCTTTAAGGGTTCTCCAGTCTGTCTTCCATGCCCCCACATTCTTCTCTGACTATTCCAGTCCATAGTCATCTTCCCCTTTTCTGATGATTTTGGTGTGAGGTTAAGTCTACTATGAAAACACTATCGGGACCTTCTCAGACAGCATTTGGTCAATGGTGCTTCTAGTTGTCCGGTTTGGGCACCCAGTGACTGATGGATAATTACTATTGCCTGGCTTAGATGGAAAAGAGTGTCCTAGGGAAGTTGGTCCAATACTGAGTCCAAAGAGAGAAAGATACCATAATCGCTGGAGCCTCTCTCTACATCAACCACCTCAGGGTTGGTTATCACTGCAGCTCGCGTATTCAGGGGGTGTCCTGAACTGTTCTCCTCTCCCCAGCTCTGGAAGAGCAAGCAGCCCCTTTAACACTTACTCTGCACAAGCATACGGGACACCCGGCTCATTTTCGTGATTCTGGGAGTTGCTGCCTCTGCCTTACACCAGTAGAACCCCGAGTCTTCTCTCCACATGGTGGGGATCTGGAGCTCTGGGGAGCTGCTGCAGCCTGACCCCAGGGTACGGCCATCTCTGAAGAAGCAGAACTGGAGCTGGACATGTGACCTCTGAAAAGCAAGTTGCGTCTCACAGGTCAGAGTCCATGGGCCTCCCTCAATGGGCTGGGAGGGACTGGCTTTCAGCCCAGGATGTGGAAAGAGCTCTAGAGAGAAGGAACACAATCCTTAGGGAACTGGGGCACAGATTGACCTGTGCTCTCAGCACCCTGAAGTGGGGACCGTCTTCCTCCCATGGCCCATGGAGATTTTTTATGAAATCCCCACTGATAAACACCCTCGCTTGATCCTCACAGCTTCATTGCCAAAACCTAAACCCACAGGTGTTCAACCATTACCTTGAACTTGGATACTTAGGGATTTTGAAGTTTCTTTCCAAAAAGAATCCCAAGAAAATTCCTTAGAAACAGCACAATGATATTCGCTATCATCTTGGCGGACTGAATGTAATCTGATGAAGTCTGAGTTATCACCATCAGGAAGTTGTTTTCCATCTTTGTAGTAAATCTTTTTATGTATTGTCTCTTCTTTCCTCCCTTGGCATCTCAGATCTATATCATCTCCTTCAAAGACCGGGAATGGCACCTGGAGGATCAGCCAGTCTGCAAAGAGCGGAGGACATACTCAATTCTTCCCTGTCATTTCTTTCTTTGCTCTCAGTTCTCCCCATGAGAAAAGAGCTACAGCCCTGTACACACCTGCAAATGTCCTCCACCAATTTTTCCACATGCTCCATACTAGATTCTTCCTTGTTCTGGAAGAGGGGACTAATTTCTGGAAAATGTCCTTGAGAAATCCCATCTTTAAAAGAGGAATTCTATCCCATACCAAATTCAGACCTGGCCTCCTTTTTGCCTCGTGGCCCCTGGGGTGCAGACACTTCTCTGAATGAGGAAATGGACAGCACCATACTTTGCTGCTGCCGTGCTTCTTGCTCCCCCCACTGGGGCCAGCCCATCACACATGCCCACGCCTGTCACAGTGCCATCTGTGTTAACCCAGCTCACAGATATTCTGCCCAGTGGTTTGATTTTAGAAACTCCTCCTTTTTCTCACCAGATGAAAATTCCACATGTACAGGGTCACTGTAGGAGGATCCTTGGGTCTTGCATTGGTAAGAACCAGATGTTTTGATTAGGATCATTCCAGATGTTTTGTCAATCAATTTACCGTTCCGATACCAAGATGCGCCTTCCTGGGATTGCAAATGGTGATTCACGCATGTGAGAATCATCTTTTCTCCCTTGAAGACTGTGGACCATGGAGGATCGAGCAGAAGTACAGCTTTGGGTGGTACTTCTAAATGGGAAATAGACAAAGGCAGGTTAGTGAGGGGTGGGCCGAGGACATGGGAGGGGCCAGCTTTGCAGCTGGGGATTTTCCTGGGACTGGGGTTAGAAATGGAACAGAGACAACTTTGAAAAATGCCTGGGAGAGAATCTGTTATTCCTCATCCTTTGCCTACCCTGGACACGGGCAAGGGGATATCGTAGGAGATCGGGGTCTTGGCAGGGGCTCAGAACAGTTTAGAAGACATGATTAGTGCCAGGTGTGGTGGCACATTTTTGTAATCCCAGCAACTTGGGAAGCTGAGGCAGGAGGATTGCCAGTTGAAAGCCAGCCTGGGCAACATAGGGAAACCCTGTCTCAAAATAAAAAGGGCTGGGGATGTAACTCAGTGGTAAAGCACCCCTGGATTTAATTCCCAGTACAAAAAAAAAAAAAAAAGATTTGTCATTGTACAAAGACTGCTAAGTCCAGAAGGTAGGCTCTGAGATACTTTTGTTCTATTCATTCTTTTCAAGATGAAGGTGAACCTGGGCTGTTCAAAAGCAGTTTCTAGACTCAAAAAAAAAAAATCACTCTGGGCTTGACTTTAAACATGTAATGAACAAGATTCTTTCTTTAATTTTGTTATTTTTAAACTTTGCTTAGTTGGAGAATCTACAGGGAAGGCAACTCTACTCTCCATCTAAGTTGGACACAATCAATAACAAAGGCATATAAAGAATTTGAAGTTAGAAGGTCAGGCTGCTTGAGAAATCAGGCTTGTGTTTAGGATTGCGGCTCACTGATGGACCGGAAACTGAGGCATGAGCTCCTTTTGGAAATATAGAAGGGTTTTACTGTGGCATCACCCTCTGTGAATAGAAGCGATTCCTGTTTCCTTTGGTAGCAACACTAACTTGGACACACAGAGGAAATGACTTCGGGGGTGGAGGAGATGAGGCCCGAGAGTCTCTGAACAGTTGCTTGCTGCGTCTACCCTTCCTTCTGCTCATGCTTGCTCCCTCTCTGCACCGGGGTGTCCTGGTAATGTGGGATGAGCTAGAAACTGAGAAGTTGGGAGCTGTTTGCCCAACATACAACAGGTGTGACCCCAGCACGGCAACTGATGTTGGCATCTCCCTGATGACCTCATTTGCAAGTGTTGGGCAAATAGCCCCAACATGCTGGCTGATGGGATGAGTGATCAGAACTTGGGAGGAACAGAAAGGAGGGGAAACTTACGTGACTGTTCTCCTCCGGGAGCTGTGAGGGAATCCAGAAGCAAAGGTTATTAGCATAGAACGATGTTTCTCAAATCTTTTCAATCAGATGCTTTAGGAGAACTTTTCTGACAACCTAACTGCACAACGGCTTCTTTCCTCTTGGCACCCATTGTGTACCACCCAAAGTTCCTAAACAACCATGAAAACATTTAGTCTATGATTTACTTTACAAACGCAGTGCCCGTCCACAGCCCTGGCTCGTCTCTGCACCCGCCTGCGTGACAACTTCTTACTCCATTTCCTTCCTCTCTTCTCCCACGGGAACTCACAGTGCCCACGCAGGAACCACTTGGAGAAATGGCTTATCCTCCCCTCACTTCTTGGGCCTCCTCTTATTCCTTCTACTTTTTAAATCTCTGGCTAAATTTTGGCTTAAAACTGGGGAGAAGGAGGTCTTGTTTCTCAGTAGACCTTGCCTCCTCACTCACCTAGGTTTGGGAAGCTACTGCTTATCTGAAAAATTATTTCATTGGGACCTGTACAAGGAAGGAATTTAGAGCTGTGGATTGGCAGAAATTTAAGCCCAAATCTCCTATAGGATTAAAAAAATAAAATAAAAAACCAACAGAGATACAAAAACCAAGGGCCAATACTTGGCTTCCTCGGATGGCTGTATTTGGAGATTTATGGTTGTCTTGGGAACACAGGCCTTCTCTGTCTTTTCTTGCTATCTGTCTATGAACCCCAATGTAAAAGAAGAGACAGAGGCTCCCTTGTCTGACTGTAGGAACTGAAGCCACTGTCCTATCCCAGTCCCTCTACTCACCCAGGATCAGCAGCAACAGCCACAGAAACATGGGAACCAGGCCTGGCTGCAGGCAGGGCATGTCTGTCTCACCAAAAGGCAGGCTTATTTCCCATCTACAAAGGAAAATGGGAGGTCATATTCAGATAAGATAGGTAGAAATTAGAAAAGGGGAAGTAGAAGAACTTGGTGTCACGTCTCACCCCTGGGTTTTCAAACACGAACATGACAGCCCTCCTAAGTGATGTCTGTTTCTCAGCCCTGGTAGCTGTGTGTTTTCATATATTGAGGGCCACCTTCCAACTGTTCAGATCTCTCAGAAAAACAAAATATATATATATATATATATTTCCAAAGCTGTGCCTGGGGTCTCTGAAAATGCCAAGCCATACATTTGTTTATATTCAAATAGCTTGTCATTTCTCAAATGGAAAAAACTTCCCCTCACCCCCAGCATTTCTTCAAATTCATACATCCTCTAGGTCCACGTGAGGTGCCTAACATAGATCAAGCATGGACGTGCTTGACCAGCTCAGTGTTCTGATGCGTTTGGTGGTGAGAGTCGGTCATGATGGGCAAAAGTGCCACTTACGCAGTTGAGGGGAGAAATAAAGAATGTTCACGCGCTTCTGCCCCTTTCAATGCTTTATTCACTCAAATCACTCAACACAATTTCACTCTATAGGTTCTTAATCAAGAAAATGACGATCCTTAATTCTGGGCACTGCAAGAGACATGATCAATTCAAAGCAAACAATTGTAAGGTAATTCTAAGCACTGCAAACACTCTTAATCATGACAGGCTCATGACAGACATTCTCTCTGCAGCTGAGCTCAAGGGTCAGAACTAGAGGCTCTTAGGCCTTAAGTCCAGCGGGTGCACACTCACTCAGACCCCAGTGATCAGGTCAGGAACCGATGGAGGCTTCTCCTGGGGTGGAGCTGGCGGCTGGCTGAGGAGAGGGTCTTAAGGAGAAGTTGCCTTGCTCACCAGGGTCAAGATGTGGCTGTAGAGTTTGAGAGCCGTGAGGATGGTGCAGAGGATCAGGCAGACGATGAGAAGAGCTGGGATGTCAGTCCAGGTCCTCATCAGGCTCTCCGGTCAGGCTCTCCGGCATGTGGGCATCAGTGCTGGCTGGCTGAATGTCTATTCATTTGCCCCATCATTTATGCTAAATTTGGGGGCTTCTGACCACCCTTTCAATCCCTATGGTCTGGTGGTTTGTGCCCCGATCTCTCGCCTTTTGCTTTTATCAGGGCGAAGGCAAATGACAGAGACTTCACCCTGAGTTTTATCAGGGTTGTGGAAAATGACTTATTTTATCAGGCTGTGCCTGATGACCATATGGGAGGGCTCTGTAGGCATGCCTGCTGGGGACTGCAGTTTTGTGGTTTTTTTTTAATGTTTATTTTTTAGTTGTAGTTGGACACAATATTTATTTTATATGTGGTGCTGAGGATCGAACCCAGGGCCTCAAATGTGCTAGGTGAACACTCTACGGCTGAGCCACTACCCCAGCCCTGGGACTGGGGTTTTATTTCAAAATGTAGTTACTTAGGCTAAGGCCCTTCTTAGGTTAAAGGCATCCCTAAAGAGTCATGCAAAGTCAAGGTGTCAGAGAAGTTGCAAAAGAGTCTTTCACTTTCACATAAGTTGGCATGGAGCTTCTGAATGGGAAAATAGTAGAATTACACAGGTTAGCAAAAGGGGGCTACCTCTAAGTCATGCCCAGAACTGTGCAAATTAAGACATAAATGAGCAAGCGTACAAATAGGAATCCCTGTTTGTAAAGGCAAGGCCCTTCTAAGAAAGGCTATCCTTCCCTTTGTACTCAAAGAGGTCCCGCTTTTTATTTGTAATGTCTTTTAAATCATAACTGGTGAATATTTTCTCCATGTTCTTGCTTGCATTTGTGTCTCCCCCCATCTAACTTTTTTTTTTTTTTTTTGGTACCAGGGATAGAACTCAGGGGCACTTAACCACTGGACCACATCCCCAGCCTTTTTTCTTTGTATTTTATTAAGAGACAGGGTCTCCCTGAGTTGCTTAGGGCCTTGCTAAATTGCCGAGGCTGGCTTTGAACTGTGACCCTTCTGCCTCAGCATCTGGAGGCACTGGGATTACAGGGGTGAGCCAATGTGCCCGGCCCCTGCTAACATGTAAGGGCCCCACGTTTGTCTTATCCACTACAGCATCCCTTGTGCCTCTCCTAGTTCACAGTTCTTAGGAAAGTTGGGATCTTTTGGTATTTTTTAGGGACTGCTGAAATGGGCCATCAGGAACTCAAGACAAGCCCCCCCCCCTTTTTTTTCATTATCAACCCCTAAGGAGGCTTTTTAGGTTCTTTTTTTTTTTTTCCTTTTTTGGTTGCAGATGGACATACCTTTATTTTATTTATTTATTTTCCTGTGGTGCTGGGGATCGAACCCAGTGCCTCATGCATGCTAGGCTTTACCACTGAGCCACAGCCCCAGTGTTTTTTCACCAGCTGCCCTCCTCCTCCATGAAATATTAATACCCACAGATATGTGTGCATCTTTTTATGTGCTATATGTATAGGTGTGCTTCATACATTAAAAAAAAAAAAAAGTAAGGTTTTTGTTTTCTTCACCTTCCCAAGAACCAATATCTGTCCCCTGGAGGATGACCTCACCTCTGTTGGAATGTACGGTGTAGACAGCAGTGTAACTGCATGGACAAAGTCAGGACCGCTCAAGGAGACCTCTGCATTACGAGTGGAAGATGATCTCAGAGCAGATGAGGCCCACGGGGAGCATGGATTGTAAAGAGCTGCGAAGAGGTTCTCTCTCTGAACCAAGTAGCACTTCCCCACCCCCTCTCCTGTAACAGGGTCCCTTTCATGTAACAAGGGTCCCCACCCCCTCTCCTGTAACAGGGTCCCTTTCATGTAACAAGAGCCCCTTTACGCTGGGTATTAACCTGCTGCTCCACAACTGGCAGCTCATTGTAGAACAGACATTTCCCCTCCCTCACTGAGGGGAAGACAAGATGAACATCCTTTCTATCCTAAGAGGGGCCATCTGTCCTTCTGTGTACTGCCCACCTGGACAGATTCTCTGGACATAGGAAATGAGAAACAGCTCTTAAGAATAAACATTAATTACAACTACTGCTAATATCTGGAAATGGCTCTGCAGTCCCCTTTTCAAAGCCCTCTGCTCCCCCTATAGCAGTCAGGGTGACAGCTGTGTGACTGCGGTTTGTCTATTGTCTTTCTCCTTTGCCAGCAAAGCAATTAGACTTCTTTGTCCTTTTTGTTTTTTTTAAAGCCTTGTCCTTGTTAATCAGATTAGCACTGGGGACAAGGACCAAGCTTTCAGCATGACCCCCATGGAACTTACCATTATGTGATGTGGAATGTCTATTTCTGTCATTAGCCTGCTGGATCACTGGGGCTGGAAGTGAGTCTGGTTTGGGTCTCAGTGCCTCATTAGAACACTCGTAGAAATTTGTCCCAATTTGTCCATCAGTACAGCTGAATGACTGAATAGCTGACCAACAAGAAACAGCAGGATGACCATAGAAAAAGATCAGTGTGTTTAAGTGATTTCCTTACTCCCTCCTGATTGAAGATATCTCCAATATTCTGGATACGTATTGATTGCATTTATGTATTGAAATTATAGAGCTATTTCCTAAAATTGTACCCAGTTCATTTGTAGCACAGGATCGTTGTAAACTGCTAATTGTGCAGTGTGGGTGTCACCTCTGACCTCTTGAATTTGGGCTGGGTTTTCCTCTCCCGTTCATCAATAGCATTGATTTCCTTCACTACAGAACTCATCATGGTGGAGGGTCTGTAGTGTCCTTGAGTGGTATAAATACTTTTGTACTTTAGTTTCAGTTGGGATATTCAGTCGAAGTCCAGGTCTTTGGTGTCTCCAACCAAGAATTGAGCAAGACACACAGAAGTAACAGATAAAGTACAGATTTATTGAACTTGAAGGTGGAAGTAGCACTCAGTAAGGTAGAGAGGAGTGGGCTGAGGAAAGAGAGGGGCTCAAGGCCCCAGTGTCTGGAAATTAGGATCTAGTATCCTGAACTGTGGGGTGTTCTCTTCCCTATACTGACCTGATTGAAGACCTTACTCCACTTGCTCCCATTGGTAATCTTATGATACCTGATTAGAATATTTTCCAATTCCTGGCCCCCATTGGTTACTTTAGAAAACCGAATTAGAACACTGCCCACCTTATCCCCCTCCCGCCCCCTTGGTCATCTGAACCTGGGGAGAGAGTCATCATGGTGATAAGTCCTCATTGGCAGCGGCTGTCATAGTAATGAAGTTTATTGTAAACAGGTTCAGGACTCATCTCCTTGTCTCATCCTCCAGTGACTTCTAGTACCCTGTCTCCACCATCTCCATGTCCCTGAACTCCTTCTACCCATACTCTAAGGGAAAGAAAGAGCTCGGGCTCGCTTTTGATTTCTCTACAGCCTACGCAGTCATCAACCAAATGAAGGCTCCGTGAATTACATTGTTATATATCTTGTGTGCACACAGGAATATGTAACAACAAGTCCCACCGTTATGTACAACCATGATGCACCAATACAAAAAGGGAAAAGCAAAAATAAAGACAAATTAATTCATTTAGTTAATAAAACAAAAGGAAGGCAAAGTTGAATGTGGATAACTTTGAGATGTAGTCTGTCCGACTAATTCTACACCATAAACGAATGCAAATGAATCCCATGGTCCAAGGTGACGATGTTGATCATTTCTATTAATAGTTATTTCTTGTGGTTGGAAAGAGGTGCTCAGAAAGCTGCTTTTTGAATCTTATTTCCATCCGGGGTCTATCTTTCTTTCAGTAAGGCAGGTGTTACAGAGCTGGGGCCTTCCAAGAAACTGAGGCATCAGGAAGACCCTCCCTTCAAACCCCAATTTGTATAACCAGGTCAGAAAGATTTCAGACCTGTGTCTCAGAGTAACAGACATGAGTTTACTGAGGGATAGGAAAAGGGAGAGAGTGGGTCATCTCAGAGAGGAGAGGGACAGTGTACCTCTACTGTGCTCCAGTTTTATTGGGGATCTCAGAGGAGTTTCCAGAGAGTCCTGCCCAGAGCCACCTCTTTACTCTTGACTGAACAGCAAGATGACATC